TGGAATTTTTTTTTGAGAAATGTTTCTTTCGAAAAAGATAAAGATAAAAAAAAAAAATAAAAAAAAGATTTAATTTTATTTTTTTTGGAAAGAGAAAAAAAAAAATCAGAGAGAGAGAGATTTTTTTTACAAGAAGATAATGATATTTTTGTAAAGCGTTTAATTTGCATAATATTTATATTTTGAATTTGTGAGAGAAAATTTTATACATATGAAGATAAAATTTTCATGTAATTAATATGCATATAATTTATTTGCATTTTTAATAAGTATTTGTGTTTTGTTAATTCGATAGCAATATAAAATGATTGCTGAATATAACTCATAATGAATAAACTAATAATTATAATCAATTAATAGTTAAAGTTAAATAAGTGTTTAAATTTTTAATATAATAAGGATTTATTTATTAAAGTAAATAAATACTTATCGAAGCAAAAGAATGCTGAACGAAGTAGTTTATGATTAAAGATCATTTATTCAAAGCATATAAAAATATACATAAGTATAAGAAAATCGTAGAGTCATCTCTACATGCTCTTTATTAATTGGTTTGTTCAGTACTCTAGCAAAGTCTCCGAACACCTAATTAATAAACCATATAGCTAGTTATTTTCATTCTTAAAAAGATTAATAATTCTTTTTATTAACCAGTTCAATACTAAAAAATTTATTGAGCACTGTTTAATAAAAGGAATTATTAACCTTTTTGAGAATGAAAATAACTAGATATACGAAAAATACGTAGTTATCCATTTAGGTGTTAGGCATAAAAAAAAAAATTATTTGTTAATTTTTTTTCTGTTTCTTCTTATATATTAAATACGTAAAAAATATATATTTGTTTTTTTTTAAAAAAGAGAAATTTTTAACTAATAGAAAAGAAAATAATAATCGAAAAAAATAAGAAGTAATTTACTAACAAAAGGGTTTCTTTGTAATGAATTTTTATTTTGAATTTTTAAAAGAAAATTTTATATACGTAATAATAAAATTTTCATGTTTGTGGTATTTATATAATTTAATTTGTATTTTATTAATTACTTATGTTTGTTAACATGTATACAGAAGACTTGAGTTACTAAACAATATTCATAACAATATAAGTAAAATAAATGTAATTAAAAGTTTATAGTTAAAGAGGTTTTAAATTCTTGATAAAAATGTAGGATTTTTATTAAAATAAATAAATACCTCTTGGAAACAATAATTATTCAACGAAGTGTATATAAATGCAGTTTACTTATTTTATATCATTTAAAATTATATATAAATTCATTAAATTATTAGAGGAAACTCTATATGCTCTTTATTGATCTGTTTGTTCATTATTCAAGCATAATCACTTAAGAGGCAGTTAATAAATCGAGAAAACAAGAAGTGAGAATACTAATTTATTAGTACTTCTTTTGAGATATAAAAAAAAAAAAGAGAGAAAAGAAATGATAAGAAACAGTATATTCATATAAGGAGCTGTTTGAATACATATATAGAATGCTAATAATACTGCACGTGAATATTAAGTATTAAAAACAAACAAATTTTAAATAATAAATGTAATAAAAAATTTAATTTTTAATCTATTACAAAGGTATTATTACTTTAATAAAAGTAGTAAAAGATACTCCCAGAAAATTTATTTCTTTTTTTTTCTATATACTTTATAGAAACCTCAAAAAAAAAAAGATAATGAACCAAGGTTCAAAATAAGTTTCAACTTGATTAAATGGAATTAATATACACTTGAATGAAAAATATGAAATTATATTGCATTTTTCTAAGTTTTTTAAAAATGTATATTAAATTTTCAAAATAATAATAAAATTGAGATATATATAGAATATATGCAAATATATAAATAATATAAATATACAAATTAGAAAAAAAAAAAAAAAAAGATAAAAGATACTAAATTGAACGCAATGATAATTTTTTTTTTTTTTTTTTATAAAACTAAAAACGAGAAAAATAAGGAAATTATTTAAATAATCTAAACATAAAGATGGAAAATATGAAGTAATATAAAATATTATATTATATAATTTTTATAAACTACAAACATAAAAGACAAATTTTTTGTTACTATTGTAAATAATATTATTCATATATGTGTATACAGTATAATATCTTTTGTTTATACTAGTTCAAAAAGAATAAAAAAGTTTTATATCTGTTTTTTTGGTTTATCTTGTAATTGAAAAATATTAATTTAATGAAGTGCGTAGTAATTGATAGAAGAAAAAATTAAAATTGAATATATTAATTTTTTTTCTATATTTATATATTTAAATAACATAAATAAAAAAAAATTTAAGAATAATATAAAATTATCAAAAGTAAAAATTTGTATAAGTGTAAATATAGTAAAAATTACTATATTTTATGTAAGTTTCAAAAATTCATGATGTAATTATATAAAATAGTATATACATAAATCTAATATACATAAATATTATAAACTAAATATACTTTATTATATATCATTAGGTTGAAAATATCTAGTTAAATTACATTAATAATTTATAGGATGAATAAAATAGTTAAAAATGTCTATTAGATTATTAAAAATATTAGAAGATTTACTTGTATATATACATGTTAAGGAGAATGTAAAACATAAATTTTTTATAGGAAACACATGCAATTCTTTTATTCATATTTTTCCTCTTATTTATTAAAGTGATTCCCAAATATTGCATTTTATAAATATTCGTATACTAACGCATAAGTTGTAATTACAATAAAATAAAAAAAGACACTTTTTAAATTATTAATGTAAATAAACAATTTAGAAATACTAAAAAATGTATATATATATTTTAAAGAGAGAATTATATTTTTATTAAAATAATATTTATAAATGAAAAATTAAAAATAAATACAAAGAAAAATTTAGTACGTAGTTAAATACCCAATATTATATATTTAGAATTACTTAGATACATTTTATAAATGAATTGTTATTAAAATAAACAAAATAAATAGAATTTCAAATTTCAATTATTTTAATATTTAACAAAATCTATGTATGCAGATTAAGATATAATATATTATTATTTTTTTTAAATGAAGAAGCTTTTTTCATAAAACATATTATTCTTTATTTGTTATTCTGATTAATACTACCAAATATCTTTTTAAAAATATCGATAATATTAAATTAAGAGAAAGAAAAAAAAAAAATAAGGAAAAAAATTAAAAAACGTTATGAATATAGAAAAAAAAAATTAAGGGAAATATAATATATAAATTATAAAAAAATTATTTATAAAACATTTCTTTTAAAGTTTACTCAATATATAATATCAAAAAAAAAATTTATATATGCATTAATTTTTAACAAATGTTATTATTTTCTGTAATATTTTTTCAGTTGAGAAGTATTTTCGAATTTATATATTTTTAATATTAATAATTCCAAATAAATATATTTAAAAAAAAAATTTATCAGTTAATTTAGATTACAAATGAAAACTAATTAATGAGCATGTGAAAATTTTTTGTATGTTTTCTTTAATAAAAAAAAATTATAAAAAATTATAAATTCATAAATTCATATAATTTTTATATAAATTTTTTTTTATAAACATAATTTTTAGTTTTTTTATTTTAATTTATTAACCTTAATTAAAATAAAAATTTGTCGATATTGGGTTTATGAAATATTTATTTTTATATATATACTTAGTGTTTTCTTTTTTTAATAGGTTTTACAAAATATTTTGTTGAAATATTTGCATATTAAATAGAGCTTTTTTAAAATTACTTCTCAGTGATTATTATCTTTTTTTATTAAAGGAATATTTGTAATTTTAATTTTAAAACTAATATTATCTTAAAAACAAAATATTAAAAATGTGAATATTAAAAGAATTGTTTATTATTAATATTACTATTTTCAAGATTTAATCTTAATATTTATAACTATAATTTTTTTTTATTTTTAACATTTCTAGTTTTGAAATAACTTTTGATAATTTTACAGTTTCACTTTTTGTCATTCTAATTTTAGATATAGCATATTTTTATTATTTAAAAGATTATATTTAGAATCAATTTTTTATTTTTTTAATACTGCTATATTTAATTAATATATTTGAAAAAATAAAAATTATACTGTATACAAATAGTAAGGAAAATATAACTATATACATATCTAATAAAAATAGAATTTTTTTTATTTTGCTATTATGAATTAAAATAACATTTTCATATATAATTTTTTATTTATGTGACCTTCATATTTAAATATTTACATAACATGCATGCATATTTAAAGTAAATATTACAAGCAATTTTTTCATATGGGCAACCTCTCATTCTTTTTATTTTTCTTAAAATTGAATAGAATCTAAATATTTATAATAGTAAGAAAATATATAATTCTAAATAAAAAATTTAGGAAATGCATAAAATGAAGCTTAAAAATGTGAAATATGTTATATATTTAAGTTTTCAGAATTATGATAAACTTATATTTTTTAATTAATATAGATTTTGTTATAATAAAATATTAAGAAAAATATTTATTCATATAATATTAAGATCTTTTTTTTTCTATATTTTATATGATTGTTAATTTTTATTTATATTTTTCTGTATATATATTAATATGTTAAATTATTCTCATAATATAACACAACTGGTTTGTATCTTACATAGTGTTGTAAGTAGATTGAAACTTTTAGTGGAAAAATATAAAAAAATGATTTTTAATATTTGTAATTTTTAAATGCAACATAGCATTCTTTTATTTATTTATTATAGAACTATCAATTCATATAAACAAAATTGAATAATTTAAGGAAAATATATTATGTAAATTTTATTCATTTTTTTTTTTTTTTAATCATGGAAAAATCAAACAATTTTTCCTGAATAAGATAAAAATCAATGAACGCTATAATAAAAACGAAATTGATTATATTTTGTAAGAATAATTTTACACATATTTTTGCATATAATTTATTTGTAATATGAATATTATTAAAACACTACAAATGCCATATATTAGTTATATTTTCCTTTTTTTTCAATTGTCTACACAAATCAAATTTAGTATTTCACATGAATTTCAAAATGGAGCACAATATCCCGATATAAAAGTGTATAAATGTTTATACAATTTTATTATAAAAATTTTTTTTTAATAAATCATTTTGTACACCCATTTATCTATATTTATTTTTAGACAAAATGCAAATGTTAATGATGAAATATCTAATGTAGATGACATAATGAAAGATGATAGTGAAATTGATAGAATATTATATTATTCAGATAATTTACCATGCGACTCAAATGATTTTTCTAGTAATATACAGAATACTACTTATTCGGAAAAAACAACTCCTAATTTACATAATTTAACTTTTAATTCGCAAGATACGAATTCTAATATAAAAGATGCAGTTTATGATTTACTTAATATAGTTTCAGATGAGCCAAATTTAATTTTGGATTCACAAGGTATTATTCCTGATTTAAAAGATGTAATTTCTGATTTACAAAATACATATCCTAATTTTCACATTATGACTCATGATTTACACGATTTAATTTTAGGTTCTTCAGAGAAAAATCCTGATTTTCACGTTATAACTCACGATTTACAAGATTTAATTTCAGATTCTGAAACGAAAAATCCTGATTTTAACATTATGACTCATGATTTACAAGATTTAATTTCAGATTATGAAGAGAAAAATCCTGATTTTCACGTTATGACTATCGATTTACAAGATTTAATTTCAGATTCTGAAGCGAAAAATCCTGATCTTCAAATGACTCATGATTTACAAGATTTAATTTCAGATTCTCCAGAGAAAAATCCTGATTTTCGCATGACTGGTAATTTACAAGATTTAATTTCAGATTCTGCAGAGAAAAATCCTGATTTTCAGGATATAATTTCAGATTCTGAAACTAAAAATCCTGATTTTAACATTATGACTCATGACTTACAGGATTTAATTTCAAATTCTGAAACTAAAAATACTAATTTTAACATTATGACTCATGATTTACAAGATTTAATTTCCGATTTTACAGAGAAAAATCCTGATTTTCACCCTATAACTCATGATTTACAAGATTTAATTTCAGATACTTCAGAAAAAAATCCTGATTTTCAAATGACTGATAATTTACAAGATTTAATTTCCGATTTTGTAGAGAAAAATCCTGATTTTCACGTTATGACTCACGATTTACAAGATTTAATTTCAGATTTTGCAGAGAAAAATTCTGATTTTCACATGACTGATAATTTACAAGATTTAAATTCAGATTCTGCAGAGAAAAATCCTGATTTTCATGATATAATTTCAGACTCTAAAACTAAAAATCCTGATTTTAACATTATGACTCATGATTTACAAGATTTAATTCCCGATTTTACAGAGAAAAGTCCTGATTTTCACGTTTTGACTCATGACTTACAGGATTTAATTTCAGATTCTGAAACTAAAAATCCTGATTTTAACATTATGACTCATGATTTACAAGATTTAATTTCAGATTCTGTAGAGGAAAATCCTGATTTTCACGTTATAACTCATGATTTACAAGATTTAATTTCAGAATATGAAGAGAAAGATCCTGATTTTCACATGACTGATAATTTACANCTGATTTTAACGTTATAACTCATGATTTACAAGATTTAATTTCAGATTCTGCAGAAAAAAATCCTGATTTTCATGTTATGACTATCGATTTACAAGATTTAATTTCAGATTTTGCAGAGAAAGATCCTGATTTTCACATGACTGATAATTTACAAGATTTAATTCAAGATACTTCAGAGAAAAATCCTGATTTTCAAATGACTGATAATTTACAAGATTTAATTTCCGATTTTGTAGAGAAAAATCCTGATTTTCACATGAATGATAATTTACAGGATTTAATTTCAGATACATCAGAGAAAAATCCTGATCTTCAAATGACTCATGATTTACACGATTTAATTTCAGATTCTGCAGAGAAAAATCCTGATTTTCGCCTTATGACTCATGATTTACAAGATTTAATTCCAGATACTTCAGAGAAAAATCCTGATTTTCATATGACTGATAATTTACAAGATTTAATTTCAGATACTTCAGAGAAAGATCCTGATTTTCAGGATATAATTTCAGATTCTGAAACTAAAAATCCTGATTTTAACATTATGATTCATGATTTACAAGATTTAATTTCAGATTATGAAGAGAAAAATTCAGATCTTCAAATGACTCATGATTTACACGATTTAATTTCAGATTCTGCAGAAAAAAATCCTGATTTTCATGTTATGACTATCGATTTACAAGATTTAATTTCAGATTCTGTAGAGGAAATTCCTGATTTTCACATGGATGATAATTTACAAGATTTAATTTCAGATACTTCAGAGAAAAATCCTGATCTTCAAATGACTCATGATTTACACGATTTAATTTCAGATTCTGCAGAGAAAAATCCTGATTTTCACGTTATGACTATCGATTTACAAGATTTAATTTCAGATTCTGTAGAGGAAAATCCTGATTTTCACATGAATGATAATTTACAAGATTTAATTTCAGATACTTCAGAGAAAAATCCTGATCTTCAAATGACTCATGATTTACACGATTTAATTTCAGATTCTGCAGAGAAAAATTCAGATCTTCAAATGACTCATGATTTACAGGATTTAATTTCAGATTCTGCAGAAAAAAATCCTGATCTTCAAATGACTCATGATTCTCAAGATTTAGTTTCAGATTCTGCAGGGAATAATCCTGATCTTCAAATGACTCATGATTCTCAAGATTTAGTTTCAGATTCTGCAGGGAATAATCCTGATCTTCAAATGACTCATGATTCTCAAGATTTAATTTCAGATTCTGAAGGGAATAATCCTGATTTTCACGCGACTCATGGTGTACAAGATTTAATTCATGATTCACAAAATTTAATTCATGATTCACAAAATTTAACTCATGATTCACAAAATTTAACTCATAATTTACAAAATATGATTTTTAATATACAAGAAGTGCCTTCTGATTTACAAAATATAAATTCCTATATTCCTGATTTAACACATTCAAATTATATAATATATAATTCAGATAATTTAAGTTTTAATTTACAAAATTTATATACTAATTTTCAAAATACAAACTATTATTTGATAAATACATTACCATGCTCACAAAATTTGGGTTTTTATTTACAAAATGATTCCACTTTTTTGCAAAATATTGCTTGTAATTTTGAAAATGACACTTCTAATTTACAAAATTATACTTATTACATAGGGGGTATCATACCTGATACAGGATGTTTAGTTAGTAGTATAGAAGATACAACATTCAATCCAAACGATTTGCAATTTCAAAATGATTTTAATGTTTTACAAAATATTAACTCACATTCAAAAAATACTATTGACATTTCACAAAAATTAATACAAAATATACAAAATATTACCTCCATATTACAAAATATGCACGGTAGTTTTGTGGAAATATCTTCTGAGTTGAATACGTGGAATTGCGGTTTAGATGAACCATTATCTACTTTACAAGATACATCTGATGATTCATCAGTAGAATCGTATGTATTTTTTTTAGATATTTTTTCATTAAACTATGGTTTAAATACTATATATATGCATATTTTATTTTTTATTTTTAGTGACAGTCCACATTCTCATTCTAGCTATAAATTCAATGAAGAAAAGGGGTCCCTATATAAGAAAAAATTTAGAAAAAATTCTGGGATTCAATTAACAAAAGATGAAAAAGATGGCGCTAAATATATCAAAAACTTTGTTTCATTACTTGAGGAACGAATTTTTAAAATTGGATTTAAAAATTTTGCGAAATATATATTACCTATTTTAGGTAGTATATTCGAAGTATTATTTAAAATATATTATGAATCACTAAATATATTTAATTCATGTACAAGTTCATTAGAAAAAAACATAGAAAAAGAAATAAAAAATGTTGACCATGAAGAATTAATGATAATTATGGTATATTATAATTATGTTATTAAAAATGAAAACTATAACCCCAGAGATGTTGCAGAATTTTCTCGTTCACTTAAAAATAAGGTAAAATGGTCTTTTACAAAACGCAGTAAAATATTAAAAACAATAAATTCGTGCGTGAAGAATCTTAAAATTTTAAAAAAGAGAATTGAATTCGAAAAAAACACAATTAAAAAAGTACAAGGAATTTTATATGATACCATATGTAATCAAATAATTTTTGCAAAATTTCTATATCAAACAGAAAGAACATCCATCTTTTATAAATCAATTGAAAGCATAGGTAATTTAATAGACATCATTGAAACATCACTTAAAGAAGGTCAGTTACCCTCAGATTATAGTCCTTTATATATTGCTAGAAATAATATACATAATACTTCTGCTACTCTTGCTATTAGTAAATACGTAAAAACAGTTTTAAATGATTTAAAAGATTTAAAATTGTCAAATAATGATCATGAAATAAATTTAAAAATTGTTTTTCATTTCATTAATGAAAAAAATATGATAAATAAAACACAAGTAAAAGAAATGATTAATGATAAAAGTAAATCAGAAATCACAGAAGTCATTCATAATATTTTACAAGAAGAAGAAAAGTATGTATCAGAATCTGGTGATAGGGCTTCACATTATTTTAATATAAATACAGATGAACTATTTTTAAATAATACAGTTATAAATGATTTATTAGAAGATAAAAAAAGCAAAGGCAAATTATATAAACTTTATAAAGATATTATGAGATTAATTAAATATAAATCTCTTGATCGCCAGTTGCATTTAATTATGAAATTATATATGTCATTAAAAAAAATGTATTTACCAAAAAATAAGAAAAATAAAGATAAAACAGTATTTATAACAGATGATGAGCAGAAGAAAATGCTCTTAGAATTAGAATACCAAAAAAAGTTATTTAGTGAAATTAAATTAAACTTGAAATGTAGAAGTATATTTTCTGGTTTAAAGCAAAGCATCTCAGATTTTAGTAAATTATTGAATTTTTTAAATGACGCTGTGAATACAAATCTACTGATTTTTAAAATTCTTGATAGAGTAATTAATTATGGTTTATTTTCTAATGAAAAAATAGATAATCCACATGAATTTGCAAATGAGGGTTTATTGTTCATGCTATTTTATACTAAAGAAACGATGATTAAACTAACATAGAAGAATTAAATTAAAATTATATATACATTTACATATACATTTATCAAAAGGTTATTGAATATAAACTATATAATCTTGTACTTAATTTATAAAATGGAATGAATTTTATAATACATAATAAACTCTTATTTTTGCAAAACGTTTTATTTACAGGTCATAAAATCATATATATGTTTTTCGATAAATAAAAGTAAACTATCATTAGTTATAATTCATAATAGAACATCTCCATATTTTTTTAACAATAAAAGTCTCTCATAAAGTTTATAGTAAATTTTATATTGTTTTAATTTATGTTGTTAATTTATATTTTTATTTTTTTAATGTTCTTACTCATATAGTTTATACATTTCTATTTTTATGATATTATTATATTTAAAATTATATATATATATGAATTATTTGATTATATACTAAAATAATTGTATTCACAAAATAAGAAAATATTTGTTTAATTCAGTAATATAATTTTTTTTTTGTATCATATTTTTTTTTTTTAATTTTTGTTATTTATAATTTGTTCATAAAATATTAAAATATAGTGTAATATGTTTATAAATTAAGACATATTTGTTTGAATTAACAAAAGTGTACATTTTGTTACTTCAAGTTTGGCTAACTTATGCCTTTTGTTATTTATCATATTTTTTAATAAACATCAAATAATTTATATTTGTTTTTTTTATTATTAAATAATAATTATAGTTTTTATTGTATAGATAAAAACATTTGTACATGCAGAAATAACATACATCTAAAATATATTGTCTTTATTTTTAAATAATAATATAATATTTAATATAAATAAACTTAATTTGAATAACTAGATATTTCATTTTTTGCATCTAATTTTAATTTTTCCTAATATATGTGCATCTAAGATGCTCATTTATGAATTGAACGTTCAGAGACTTTACAATACTTTGAATAGTCAGATTAATAAAGAGCATGTACAGATACGTCTACTTATTTCTCATATCTGGTTAATAAAAGATATTATTAACTACTTGAGAGTAATAATTAACGGATGTATGGAAAATATACATTTACCTATGTACAACGAAAAATTACAAAAAAGAAATAAAAAAATAACAATTTATTTTTTTTTATATATTTTTTTAGTAAATTATTCATTTTATTAATATTTTCTTTTGGAAAAAAATTTTAAAATGAACAAACTTATTAAAAATTTTGTTTTGAAACATTTTTTGATAAAATTTTATATTTTTAAGAATAAAATTTTTCATGTTTATAACAAATTAATATAATTTGAATGCTTGCTTTAATAATGTGCTTATAATTAATAAAAGGTATTATTATCCTTTTTGAAAATAAAAAATTAACAGTAATATGGAAAATATAGTTTTGCAAGCGCTTGATAAAAAAAAAAAGTTATTAATTTTTTTTTATTTTTTTTTGTAAGTTAAATATAAAAAAAAAAAATACACTTATTTTTTTTAAGAAAAAGATTTATTTCTGAGATATTAAGAAAAGTTATTAACAAGAACAATTTTTTTGTAGAGAATTTTTCGTTGAATTTTTAAAAGGAAAATTTTATATTAACAATGATAAAATTTTTGTGTTTATAATGACTATATATTTTAAATTTATGTTTTAACAGTTAATCATTTTTATTAACTTAAAACCAATTAAATAGTTATAAAGATCATTTATAATTGATTTTTTGACTAGTCAATGTCTTTGCTAATATTAAACAGAAAAATAAAGAGCATGTAAACTTAATTTAATTAAAATTTTAATTTAAAATTCTTATTTTAATTAATAAGAATCAAATACTACTTATTAGTTAATTATATATTTTTTTTAAGTTAGTTCACATAACATTCCAAAATGTAATTTCCTTAATATTACATTTTACTTAATAAAAATATACACTCTATAGTAATATGCACACATCCTCTCGAAAAAGAAATAATTCTTTTTTTTTATGATTGCAATTTTTTTTTTTTAATAATAAAAAATAAAAACAATAAATAAAAACATTATTATGTCATTTTTTTTTTTTTTTTAGAGTACATACTTTTAAATAACTATTTTAGTGTATTGGTTTATGATTGCACATTGTCTCCATGATTTAGCAAGCATAAAATAAAATGTTTTTGCTTTATTTATACAGTTAAATTTATACAAAAAAGGTTTATAATATTATTTATGTATCAATAGGCAAAATATATCTAATTAAAAATTAACAATTATAGAGGACTTAAATTATTAATTATTATAAATATTTTTATTAAGTAAATAAATCCTAAAAAAAAAATAAATTATCAATAAAGCAGACTACATAAATATGATTTGCTCGTTTATATAACTTAAAATTATACTTAAATTCATGAAATTAATATAGGCAACTCCATATTATCTTTATTAATTTGTTTGTTCAATACTCTAACAATGACATTGAACGAGGAATTAATAAATTAGTCTATTTTTGTTAATTTAAAAGCAATGGAATTAAATTTATGAACATATTCAAAAAATTTAATTAAATTATTTTGTGCTTAAAAATCAATAATTAATTGGGATTTATATTTTTAAAAAAAATACAGGATTTTTATTAATGTAAATAAATATCTCTTGAAGGTGATAAATGTTCAACGATGCAAATTATAAAAGTATAGTTTAACGTTTTACGTAATATAATATTTGAATAAATTTAAATAGTAGAAGAAACTCTACATTCTCTTTATTAACTTGATCTAACACTCTGAAGAGTGAATGAAACTGAAAAATCAATATTTAAATATTTTATCACATGCTTTATGTATCAATCATCGTTTTTATGTAGTATCTTAACAATTTAGTCTTTAAATGCAACATTGTAATTTTGTTATGGTTAAATCATAACTAAGTTACCCGTTATGACTGAGCTTTCTGTAAAAGGGATTCCAATATCATGCATATGTCATAGTTAATCTCACAATTATTACCTTACCATTAAAATCATCAAACCATTTAGGTCACCCTTCAAATGATATTTCCTTAAATTTTGATAACCCCACAGGTATTGTAACTTTAACATTTTCCAGATCAACCTTTATTTTAAATTCATAAAATTTGTTCAGGGATACTATTTTAATAAACGTATCCTATCTAAAATTCACTATTTCTTCTTCAACTATTTAAATTACTAAATTAGCTTGGATATTTTTTGTTGATCTCAAAAATCCTTCCACTGCCCCCCAGTTGATTTATTGGCAGTTCGGAGATTTATACAATACTATGAATAATCAAATTAATAAAGAGAATTTACATAAATCTCTAATTACTATGTATATTATAGATGCATTTAACGTAAGTATATACTTTTTGTATAATTATCTATTTTAAAATAAATTAAACATTTATTTTATATCTGAATGTTTTAAAACTTTCCTCAATGGTTCGTTAAAAATTACATAAAAAAAAAAATTATTCTAATAACACTATATATATACAAAAATTAAAAAAAAATTATTATTGTTTTTTTAAAGAATGCAAACTATCTATTTTAGATTGTATTTCTTTTTATTATGTGTGTATTTATAAGCATGTCTTTACTATATTTTAAATGACATATATTTCCGATAAACCACTTTGTGGTTTTTCCATGCATACATAATATTATTGCACATATCTTTAGCCTTATCTTCGTACATGTCTATTAATTACCTAGTATGCACAAGCAACTCTTTATAATAATCCACTATTATACAAAATATAAAAAAGGGTAATGATGTCTTATATTAACTAAATGAGTGAAGTATTTATACAAAAAAAAAGATAATTTATTTTTAAGAATATAACTTTTTTTTATTATATTTTTTTTTATATGATTATATACAATGTTATGAAATAAAAACTACTAATTTTTTTTTAAAAACAAATAATATGTGATAAAAAAAGAGATACAATTTTATTAGTTACAAAAGTTTAAGAAAAAAAAGGAAGAGGCCGCTCACATTTGATTTTTTAAGTATTCGTAGGTATGAAGTATTTAATTTTTTGCAATTGTAGATAATAGTTTTTATAAAACTATATAGACGTTTACCTAAACTTTCAACGTATCTCGGTAATTTAAATATTTATTTAGCATAAAATTAATTCAATTATTTTAAATTTAATGTAAAATAAATTGTACATCACCTATTATGTAGTTTGTATATTGATTAGTTGCTCAGTGACATTTTTTGAATATTGAAAAAACAAATTAATAAAGATCATTTAAGGTAATTTCTACTAATATTAATTGTTTAAATTATATCTATACTATGAATAAACATTATATATACATAATTTACACAATTGAGCATTATTTTTATATTTATTTATTTACTTTAACAAAAAATATCCTTATTTTTATCAAAAAGATAAGCTCTAATTAAAATTATTGATTACATGTAAAATAATTTCTTAAAATAAACTAAAGAATTTACACTGAAATTACTAAAAACTTTTTAAATATATAATTGAAAGAAAGATTTGGTCACAAAAAAATAATAAAATTTTTTTTTTAATTTAATATTTTCCTAAACAACCAACGCAAGTAGATAATATATTATTTTCAGAACAGTAAAATTTATTGACTATTATTTTATAAAAGATTAATAATATATTTTATTAATCAATAATCGACCAAAGTTATTAAGTAGGAAGTTGATAAATTAAGTAGAGAATTAAGTTTAGAAGTGAATAAAAACATTCAAAAAAATGTGTACACAATGAAGAATATACGGAGTAGTACTATTTAAAACATATATACTAAATTACTTATACATAAAAAAAATATTATATTTTTTTAAATTAAGATTCCTTTTTTAATGAATTTTCTTGTTAGATGGATGATCTATTAATTGCTCGTTCAATTACCTTGCTAAAGTATTGAATTAATAAGTTAATAAAAGGCGTATAGAGTTTTCTTTATTAATTTAATTGATTTAAATGCTATATACATGCTACAAACAACTAAGCTGTATTTTTTTAGTATGTTTCATTGAGATTTGAATGTTTTTAATTGGTATTTCTTTATTCTAATAAAAATTCTTTATTTTAATAAAAAATTTATTTCCTCATTAATTTTTTAATATAAAATCTTTTAATTATAATTCTATAAATAATTGTTTATCAATTCATTTCTAATGATTTTAAATTAACAAAAATAAGTAAATATTAAAAGAGAAATTTAAATAATATTAATTCATTTTAATAACTGAAATTTCATTATTTAATACATAAAATTTCTTCAACAAAAAAATTTCTTCCAAAATATTAAAAATTAAAAAAAAATAAAAAATATTGCTTTAACTAGAGATCGTTCATGTCTAAATTTATATTTTCCATACAATTATTATTATTATAAAAAAGATAAATAATGTCTTTTATTAACCAATGGATTACTATATTTATTTTTCTTTTGAGTGATATATATGATATGGAATATTTTTTTTTTTTTTGAGTAAATCATAATATTTACGAAAATTATATAAACATACTTATAAATTTTTAATGTATTGAAGCAGTTCATGATTTACTTAGTATTATATTATTTCAAGGATTTTAGATTTAGTATTAATTAAATTATTTTTTTAATACTGTATATTTGATTAATGAAAGACATTATTAGCTTTTTGAAATAATATTCTATTGACATATGGAAAATATGAAGATATTTAGTGACCAATAAAAAATATCATTGATTTTTATTAGATTTTTTATATTAATAATAGAACGAGTTAAATAATTATCAATGCATGTAAAATAATCTATATACATATGTGGAAACATGTTTTATTATATATATAACTACATTTTGTATGTAAAGATATTCATAAAGTGGCTAATTAAAGATACTTATCTTTTGAAAAATACATTACTCTAAAGAGTATTTGTGCATGCAAGATAATAGGTGTATGATAAGATATGCTCAAAGATGTATGTAACAATAATTTTTTGTGTAATTAGAAACACAAGAAGGTTTATCAGAGATGCATATCTTCTGAAATATAGTAGATATATGTTAATAAATATATGTATAATAATATGAATAATCAATGTCATAAAAAAAATTAGGACCCACTTTTTTATAGATAAAATTATCTAACAAAAACTATTCATAAATATGGTTAAACAAATAGATATAAAATAAATCATTTTATTTTATTTTAAATATATGACACAAAATATATATAATTACCCACGTTATGTTACTGGTTAATAAAAGGATTTATTAATCTTTTTGGAAAATAAAAGGATTAGTTAAATGAAGAATATGAAGTTGGTCATGCACACACATACAAAAAGAAAAATTGATGATTTTTTTTTTGTTTGTACTTTTTTTTAAAAAAAAAAATACAAAGACTGTCAGGAATAAAATTTGATAAAAAATGCAAAGATCGTCACAAAAAAAATTGATTAAAAAAAATCAATTAGAAAAATATTTGTTACCAATAAATAAAAAAAAAATAAAAAAAATTTTTTTTTTGGAAATGAAATAGTTTTTGGTGATGAATTTTGTAAAAGAAAATTTTATAGATATAACAATTAAATTTTCATGTAATTAAAAATTTATATAATTTTTGATATTTGTCAATAATTGTTTTTATGTTTGTTAATTCAACAGCAATATATATTAATTGCTGAATGTAACTCATAGCAAATAAACTAGTAATTTACAATTTATTAATAATTAATGTTCAATAAGGATTTAAATTTTTAATAAAAATAAAGATTTTTATTAAAGTAAATAAATGCCTATTGAAATTAAAGAATGCTGAATGAAGTAGATTACGTAATTAAGGATCACTCATTCAAAGCATTTAAAAATATATATAAATACATCAAAACCGTAGAGGCAACTCTACATGCTCTTTATTAATTTGTTTGTTCAGTACTCTAATAAAGTCACCGAACACCCAGTTAATAAAACAGTTACTTAGCAATAAACAAAAAAAATATATATCTATCTACATTCTCTTTATTAATTTTATTACGCAAAGTACTTTAAAAGTCTTTGGACGGCTAATTAATAAATCAACCATGCATATCCACCACATAAAAAAAGTTAATTTCTTTTTACTTTATTTTTGTTTTTTTTAATATTTTTTTTTTCCTATATTTGGTGGAAATATATATTTCTGTTTTTTGTATGTAAATCAATTAATTCAAATTAACTTATTTTAAAAAAATTATAATGAATACGAGATTTTAAAAAGAAATACAAAAAGGATTTTCTTTTTATTTTGTATTTTAGATTCATATATGTTTTAATATACAATCAAAAATTTAAATTTAATCTTTGTTAACATAAATAAACATTTTTATTATTTATATTTTTATAATGAACAAAAACATAAGATGAAACTATATATTCCCTTCATGAACTTATTTATTCAATACCTGTTTTATTAACTGGGTGTTCGGTGACTTTGTTAGAGTACTGAACAAACATTTTAATAAAGAGCATGTAGAGCTGCCTCTACCGTTTTGATGTATTTATATATATTTTTAAATTCTTTGAACGAGTGATACTAAATTATGTAATCTTCTCTATTCAGCATTCTTTGATTTCAATAGGTATTTATTTACTTTAATAAAAATCCTTACTTTTATTAAAAATTTAAATCCTTATTGAATCTTAATTATGAATTAAATGTAAATTACTTGTTTCTTTGTTATGAGTTATGTTCAGAAATTTAAATATATTGCTGTTGAATTAACAAACATAAGCAATTAGTGAAAATACAAATTAATTATATGAATATTAATTACGTGAAAATTTTATTATTATATGTATAAAATTTTCTCTTACAAAATTAATTAAACCCTACTTCGTTCAAAAAAAAAAAAAACTTTTTTTTTTTTTATTTCATTCTTATTGGTAATAAATATTTTTCCAATTGATTTTTTTTTTTTGATAAAAATACAAACAAAAAAAAAAATGATCATTTTCTTTTTTTTTTGTGTGTGTATGACCAACTACGTATTCTTCATATAACTGTTCCTTTTATTTTCCAAAAAGGTTAATAAAGCCTTTTATTAACCAATACCCTAGAAAAGTTATTGAAAGGAAGATAAATCAATAGTATAATAATATAAAGAATACATATTTATCTATAATATATAATATTATTACAAATAATATAATTATAGATCCTTCTACATATTCTCTATCAATTTGACTATTTATTATATGAAAGAATTATTTTAATAGCCAATTAGTAAGCGGTTTGTATTAACACTCTGCTTGGAGAAAAGAAAAATGCATTATAATATTTTTCTTAAAGTATTATTCTTTACAATTTCATTAAACAATATAAAAACCATATTTATAGATTAAAAAATAATGGTAATATTAAGAATTCTTTAACAATGCTTAAAGTTGTTTAATTATTATGAATGTTTAAGAGTCATTAGAGGTAATATCATATGTTGAATAATTATGAAAATTTAAAAAATGATTTATTCTATATATATGGTATATAATTATAGAACGTGATTCTTATTTTCATTGTTTAAAAAAATATGTATTGAAAATATAATTTTATATTTTTTAAAAAAAAATACATTTTAAATAATGCGTTCATATAAAATAAATTAAAAATCATAAAAAAAAAAAAACGTATCTAGAATAATAATTAATGTCTTAAAATACCAATATATACTATTATTAAAGTTAAAATCAAAATTTATGTCTAATTTAAAGTTATAATTAATATTAGGGAAAAAATAATGATATATTTTAAATTAATATTAAAAAATTGTTTACAAATTTATTCGCTAAATACGGGTTATAATGCTGAAAAAATTATAAAAAAACGTTTACAAGACACAAATATAATTCGTGAAAAACATATTCATATGCAAAATAAATGAAATAACTTTTTTTCAAAGCAAAAGAAATACACACTTTATTATAATAATTGTATTTTCATATGAAATACAAAAAATTAGAGAATGGTTTGAGAACAAATTATTTATTTATTAATAATAAAATATAATTCGAATTATAAAATAAAAAAAAAAAAATTTATACCATATTATTATTTAATAATTTTTATATTTTTCAATTACTTAAATTAAAACTTAAGCTTCTTGACAGATTAAACCATTATACGTTTTCATTTCCATATAAACCACTATCTATATAAGGAAAGATCTTTCTGTATTTGTATCCAACTGCCTTAAGTAAGCTGTTAAATTTACTCTTATCTCCTGTTTCTTCTGAATTTTCTAATCTACTTCTCTTAGCTTCTGTTTCTTCTGAACTTTCTAATCTACTTTTCTTAGCTTCTGTTTCTTCTGAACTTTCTAATATACTATTCATAGAATTTGTTTCTTCTGAACTTTCATAAGGATCCTCAATATTTTCCATTGACCCATTATATATCTTTCTTTTTCTTCTTTCTTTTTTTATATCACTTCTTCCAAGAAACGATCCAATACGGGTAAACTATAGTATAAATTGACATTTATAAGTTAAAAACATTTTTTCTATGAATATAGTTTTTATTTGAACAAATAGAGTATAGAAAAAGAGAAATAAATATTTTTTTTTAAAACTAGTTTTATATTACCTTATAAAGATATGCAAAAAAAAGTAAACCTCCAATAATAACAAAAGGAAGAGATAGACCAGTGGTAATTGTTGATCCACAAAAATTCCCTGAACATGCCTCAGACATTCTATATCCTAAAGAGGACTCTTGAGCTACACCACTTGTGGAAAATGACGATGATGTGGATGAAGGCGTAGACGTATTTAATAAATTGATACTGCCAGAAGAATTACCAGTGGATAATCCGTCATTAAAATCAAAATCCAATGTAAAATTTAGAAGGCTTTTTGTAAGATTATTCCATGAACTGTAAGTTTGACTTAATAAACTTTTATCATGAGAATTTTCAGTAGAATTCAATGCTCTCAAAAGAATCTTAGTTTTATCTTTCACCCATTGAATTGCATCATCAGTTCCCGTTGAATTACTTCTAAGTATTTCTATATTATTAAAAAATTCTTCTTCAATAGACTGTAACCATCTACTCAAAGAACCTTGCATACCACTAGTAGATCTCGCTGTTCTGATCAAGGGAATCGCCGCTTGGTGTTCTGCTAGTATTCTCCATGTTGTAGAAAATTTCTCTGTTTTTAAATTAATGCTATTTATCTGAAAACTATATAGAGTATGATATAAGAAAAAGTTTAAATTAATATTATGAAAATTATTTTTACTTGATAAAATGAATTTATAAAAATAAAAAGTGATAAAATATTTTAGAATTCGTAATACCTTTTATTATAAAGGTATTGATATATCCATACTAAAAAAGATAAATAAAAAATTATTATTGAATAATTCAACATTTTTTTTATTTTCAACTGTTATGTTTTAGTTTAAATATATGCGATAATATGATTCCCGATTTAGGTATAATTGAATATTAATGTTTTTCTATATAATATTTCATGTAAATGCAATATCGTTTTATATATCAATATATTTAGTTGCTAACAACTAAATTTAATAAAAAAAAATAATTATTGACTGTAGTAGGTAACTTTTGCTAAGTTTTTCAATGTAATAAATAATTTTAAAAATAAATTACCTGAGATGCATATCTTTAATTTCTTAAAAAAAATATAATAAATAAATAATATTTAAAAAAAAAGGAAAGAATAAAAAAGAAAAAAAATTATTTTGAAATATTTTAATTATATTATACAAAATTTGATTATCTTCATAAGAAATAGTTAATATTTAATAAATAAAAAACAATATATAAAAATAACAACTAAAACAATAATTTAATGATAAATATAAATCATTGAATTTTTTTGTAATAGTTGTTTAATCTAAAATAGAAATTTAAAGTTTTTTATAGAAAGAATCTATTAATCAACTTCTATGATTTTTAAAGAAATAATTTTAAAGAACAAAATATTTTATTCAATTAATGAAAAATAATTCTTTTTAGAACATTTTTTCTAAAAAAAATTATGTACATATTTAAAAAACTTTTGCGTATATGTAATATTCAGAAAAAGAAATACTTATGAACTATTATAATAATTTTTCAACAACAAACTAGCCTGTTGTACATGTTTTTCACTTTAATATACTTTTTTATAATTAAATAGGGGATTAAAATTATTTAAAAAAATATGTTTCATAAATAGGAATAAAAAATGAAGATGAAAGTTGTTTAAATCTGTATATATAAATAAGTTGAAAAAACATAATATTAAAATAGTCATAATCTAATTTAATTTGTCATATATATACTATAATAAAAATAAAATAAATATGAGTAGAGTAATGTATAATTTTTAAAAATTATTTACCTAATTAAAATATTCATTATACTCTATGCTTATTTATGATTTGATTGCATTGGTAATGTGAGAAAATAGTAATATGCTAAATAATTAAAAAAAAAGAAATTAAATTATTTTTATTAATTTTTTAATTATGCAATAAGAACCAAACATGAGATAATATAAATATAAAAATAAAAAAGTAAATAAAAAACAATTTAACCTCTGAAAATATCATTATAGTTAACTATAATAAATGCAGCAAAGAAATATTATGTAAAATAAATAATTACTACCTAATTTATTATAATGTTACTTCATCAGTAACACGATATTAATTTATCAAGTCAATTAAATAATAATAGAGAAAAATGTTGCATTTAAGATAAAATCATTTGCATGTGATTTCATCATTATATATAAATGATTTAGTATTTAAAACTAAGTGAAAAATGAAGAAGATAATTAAAATTAAAATAATAAATTATATATATTTAATTTATTAATCCAAATAAAATAATTTGGTTGCAATAGTACTAATTATAAAAGTAATTATCTAATTAATGACAAGAACGTATATACTTAAATATAATTTTTTTTTAAATTTATTTTTTATTATAATGTTATTATAAAAAATATAAATAATTGAGAATATATTTAAATGTAACTAAAATTTTTATATTAATTACTTTTTTTATTAATATATACATAGGAAAAAAAAAAAAATAAATAAAATCAGGGATTTATTTTATATTATTTATAAAAAAAAAATTCCTATAAAAAATTACATAAATACATTAAAATATATGAATTTGAAAAATTTATCTTCAGTAATAAATTTTTTAATAATACATTGTGATCTCTTATAGATTTTTTCACTTTAAAAATAGTAATTTACAATTAAATAAAATTATTGTTATAAGAATAAAACAGGTAATTATTATGCACAATATCCATTTATTTAAAATTTTGAAGAATCATTACAGGAAAAAAAATACATACAATAAAATAAAATTTTTATTGATTTTATAATAAAAATCACAAAAACCTATATAATTTAGTTAATTTTTTTTAGTTTTTATAATTTAAATGGAATCTGTGTATTTCTTATTATTTTGAAATAATATTAAAAATAATTTATTTTTCTTTAAAAATTTGCAATGTAAGAATTTATACATAAATAAAAAATGTAGAAAAACAATAATTCAACAATAGTGTTTTGACAATATTTACTAAAAATTCTAAGTATATATATATGTACATAAACATATAGTAAAATATAAAAAAAAATAAATGGAAATAAAACTAAAAGATGTAAATCTAATAAAGTTAAAACGAAATAATAATATATTATACATATAAATATAACTTACATATTTAAAACTTTAAAAAAAAGTGTAATTATAATTAACTTATAAGTACTTGATAAAAGATGTTAATAACCTTTTATGAAATAATAGTAAAATATGAATAAAATAAAAAACTAGATATGCATGTTCACTTTTTGAAAAAATAGTTAATTTTTTTTTATAGCAAAAATAGAATATAGTAAAACTGTTATATATATAATAAAACACATATATTTTTTTTTTTATTTGTAAATTTTTTTTTCTAAAATACATTTTCAATTTTTTAAAAAAAAATTTTTATTTTTATTTGAGCTGTTAATAATTCTAAAGAAAAATTGTTATTTTATATATAATAAAAGGATTCGTATTAAGAATTTATGCTTTAATGAAAATAAAGAAAATTAATATTAAATTAAATAAAGGCCTTTTATAAGATTATTATTATGTTAATAATGATAACAATATTAAATTGATATATTTTTATTTAAGGAAATGCAAATTTTATATAAAATATTCTACTTATTTTGTTTTATGAAAGGAAATTACATAACTTTATTTTATTTATAACAATATATTTTTTCAATAAACAAATATAGCATATATCACTCTAAATATTCTTTGTTAATTTATTTCTCTATTAATATACCAAATTAATTAAACAATTAATTAATAAATCAGAAAGTTAACTAAAATGTGATAATATATTCATTGTTCTATATATAAAAACATGATATTATAAGAAAACCCAATAAGTGAATACATATTTCATATTATTAGCTAAATTTATATATTTCTGAAGTTTTATAATATATATATACAAATAAATGATACTAATTTATTAATTGCTTCTTGAAATACACATACTGAATGTTGAACATTTTAAATAATAAAGAAATTGTAAAATAGTTTCTTTTAATTTCGTTAATTATAAAAATACATATACTCAATATATATTCTTTACATAATTACTGTGCTTAACATGAAATAAGTAGTTTATGCATGTGGCATTCATAATCCATTATATATAATTACATTGACTTAATATTTTTATTATTTTCAAAGAGTTAACTTACAAGACATTTAAAGAGTATAATAAAAAAAATATTATTTATTTTTATTAAAATTTAAATACTCAATATATATAAAAACTTAATAATATATAAATATTTTTTTTTTAATAAAATTCATTATGTTTAATAATAAAAATAATTTTTATAGTCGATTATTTTTTAATTAATTTTCAAAAAAAAATTAATTATCATAGTAAAAAAAAAAATATTTAAAAAAATAAAAAAAATTACCAACAAATGTATAATAAAATAAAAATATTTTAGATCCAAAGAAATTTTTTTTTTTTTTTTTCCCTATTGTACATATTTCAGAATATTTTCAGGTATAACATTAAGCCATTTCTCTCAATAAATTAAGTTCATATATAATTTTTAGATTTATTTTATATTTCATAGTTGAATATTTAAAGAAATTAATAATATTCTTTATTGACTAGTTATGCAAAAATATTAAGACAATTTTTTTTATAATCTAAAAAAAAAATTACAAAAAATATTTTAATAATTTTTACTAAAAATTGAATTTTTCAAAAGAATTAGAAAAATTTTCTTTATTTTTTTTTATTTTTCAAATTATTTATGTTAGCATTAATAATAAGAGTGAAATACAAATATTACCATGTGTTGTTTTCTTAATATTTCATTAATTATTGGAGTCATGTTATTTTGAGTGATTTTTCACTTTGACTTTTTTTAAATTCATTATTGAATAAAATTACATTGAATATAATGACAAAAATATATGTATATATATAATTTAATAAAAAAAAATATATATTTTAATAATGAAAATAAATAATACTAAAAAATAACATAGAAAAGATACTAATGATTTATTAATTTATAACTAAAGGATTTCTGTACAGTTTTCAACAAATAAATTCATAAAGAACATGTAAAATGATTTCTACTAATTTCATTTATTGTAAAAATATTACTTATTACATTTATGTACTAATAATATAATTATTAAGAATAATTTGAAATAAATAGCTTATCTCATATAGTATTGATTTATTAATTTCCCTTTCAGTAACTTTGCTATATTTCTAAAGGAAAAAATTAACAAAAAACATGAATAACTTCTTCTACCATTTTAAGAAATATAAATAAAATTTTAATGCTATAAATCATTAAACTGTTTTATATACAATTTACTTATTAAGAATTTATTATTTTTAAGAGGAATTTATTTATTTTAATAAAAATCTCTATTGCTATTTAAAATTTAAATCCTCATTTATTATTAATTTTAATTACATATATTTTATTTATAATATTATGAGCAATGTTTAGCAATTCAAATGCATTTCTCTCAAATTAACAATCATAAAAAACTAACAAAATATAAAATAAATTATATAAATACTACATAACATGAAAATTTTACTAGTGTTAATATAAAATATTCTGATATAAATTTAAACAAAATTATACTACAAGAAACTTTTTGTCAACAATTTTTTCTTCTATATTTTCACAATTTAAATCATTTAATAAAAAAAAATAAATATATTTTTTTATATATTTTTAATTTTCAAAAAAAAAAAAAAAAAAAAAAAATCAATTTTTTTTATTCATTTTTTTTTTTATTTAACGCTTGCATGACTATTTATTTTTTATACATCTA